TATATATATATATATATATATATATATATATATATATATATATATATCTTCCCCCATATATTGACTCCAGCCCAGGGGCCCCCATCCTGACTCCAGCCCAGGGGCCCCCATCCTCCTAAATCCGGCCCTGACCATGTACTGTATAAAATACTTTCTAATGATGTAATAAGTATCATTATATATGTTGTTTGTTGTTGTGGTTTCTTGGTTTTGTCGTTTTTTGTTTTTTTCCCCCCACAGGTCTAGAATCAGACTTCAATGATGTTGATTTGTGTTCTCTTTATCCCTCTCTCTCTCTCTCCTCTATTCCTATCTCCTTCTTTACATTTTAATTCTTCTCTCACTTTTCTGCTTTGTTATCTTCTTTGTTTTCCGTCCCCGTGTCCATTACATCTGGAACAAACCCAAAGTATATTCTAATAAAATTTAATTTATATATCAAGTGGATCATTAAGGCCAGCCATAATGCTCTGCTTGTGAAAGTAAATCCGTTGGGCATCACTTTGACACGCAGACTAATTCTAAGTGTCACAATGCCGGGCAGGACAAGGGAAAAAAATCAAAAATCAAAAATTTGAATTGCCAGCAGCGTGGCAGTCCCCGTCAAAGTTTCTCCAGGAACTTTCTAGTTTAGGTGATGTTGATGCGTCATTTATATTAATCGTTCAGAATATTCAAGTTTAATGCATATAATGTTTATGATACTCTTCCTGAGTTGTGTTATAACAAATAATAGCAGTAGTTCTAAGCAGCATTCAGTTATAGAAGAGACATTTCCCTTTATTGCTCATTGTCCAGAAAACTATTGAAACTTGAGACCAAAACTTAAAAGAAGACTCCAGATTATTTCAAGAGTTTATAATTCATTTAAATATAGTTTACATTAGTTCATTTAATATCAATAATTTAATTAGCATCACCTGGTCTCCCTGGTGGCCCACAACAGAACCAGCTTTGACCTGACGAAGTGTCACTCTTCCTTCCAGCAGACCGGGGTCCTGGTTACATAATAAATAAATAAAACACAGACAGGTTTAAGGTGATCCTCAATGAAATACTCCTTAATAACGATTTAAACAAACACGAGCACTGAACAAAAGTGCATTATTGGTTTGAAACCCCAACATTTTTCAGTGTCATATAAATCTTTAATTTGAAGTATTTTGTTTGACCTACAGACTTCTTCTGAAAAACAAATATAACTAATCCATTATTTCATATCTGCTGTGAAACACAGACTTGGCTTCAAAGCAAAACACTGATTTTGAAAAAAATAAAATAAAAAATATGGCAGCACGGTGACTCAGTTGGTAGAGTTTGTGCCTCTCAGCGAGAAGGTTGTCAGATCGAATCCCATCTCTCATGTTCATCTCTATGCGTCCCTTGTCATGGAATGGAGACCTGTCCAGGGTGTCTCCCACCTCAAGCACAGTGACTGCTGGCCATGGGCACCAGTGACCCCCATGACCGAAAAGGAAGAAGCGGGTAAAGATAATGGATGGATGGAAAATAGAAAAACTAGCATCCAAGATGGTGTCCCACTGCCTTACTGAAATGTTACTGTCATAACACTCAGTTGGTGGACTTTTGCTGCAGCACCTGCAGAATCATTAATTACTATCTCTGTGAGATACCTGCAGCTGGACGACTTGCAGCAGATCCTTTTTAGCAGCTTGGAAAATGGCATTGACTTTATTATGGTGGATGCTTCCTCCTGCAGCATCACTGTAATGGTAGACAGCAGATGGAGTGTACTGCATGGTCACACTCTTCTTTAGGATAGACTAAGGAGACAGAGAAAGAAAAACAGAAGTTTAGACATTTGTTGTGAACATTTCATGCATGTGAATACAGTGAACTCTTATTGACTCACTCAGGAATAAGTGGTGCTTCAACAAACCCATGCAGGTTGAACACGAGTGAAACCTGAAGTTAAAGGACTTTTGTTCCTTGAAGGAATACATGAGGCCCGCATCCATTCATGCCAGAGATTTAAACTATGACCATCTTATGATGAGAAATAGTTACTGGTCAAACCTTGACAATAATGAATGCCCAGAGTATGTGCTGTGCATGACTCTCAACTACTACCACCCCACATTTAACACTGGTGTTGATTCTCCATCAGCCAGAACATGACGGACTAAGTGGTTAGAGACAACTGGACTTCTCTTGTATTTTGAAGACGACCAAAATGATTCTTGGGTTTTGATCATGAGTTAGGAGATCTGGGTTTAGAGCAGACTGTAAAAACAAGTAGACCTCAGGTTTGGTTCCAGTACACTTTTAGGATCCTGCCTCCTCTGTTGACTGTACTTGATTAACAGAGTTATTACATCACTGCTGATGTTTAAACATGCATTTGTCTAATAGGTTAGAGTGTAATCAGTCTTTTCATGCGAAAAATAAATCTTATGTGACACCTTTGTATTTATGTATTCATTCACTTAAAATAAACAAAATAAACAAAGCAAATTCATTAGAAAGAAAAAAAAACATTGAATGAAAAGGGGGCAGAAAGAAGAAAAATATTCTTAGAATATGTGTCCCTTATTTAAAAAAATATAAAATAACTTTAAACAAACAACAACTTAGGCTTGAACATCTCCAAAGTGAAAACAAAAATATTAGGCATCCTTCACTTGACACCATACTTTCCTAACAATTTTAACTTCATCATCTTTTTAAACATATAAATTGTTTTAGAAATTTTTATGGTGATATCAAGGCAATTCCACAATCCTGTTCCCTGAATTACAAAGCAGCTCCTTCAGACTAATTCTAAATGGAGGTTTTACAAACATACACCTTGGCTGTGCATGGGGAGGAGACAAGACCTCCATCAATGCGTAGGCACTGGTTCAAATAAAGAACATTGCAGCTCCTCCAGCCTTTACCTTGAATGAGAGCAAAGTGGGGACACTGTCTATTGGAATTCACATCACATTTGGTTTTCACATTTATTGTAAATGGCTTCTTTCACTTTTGTTTCAGACCACCCGACTTCCATATCTAAAATTGATGTCATCAGAAGAGCGTCCCCTGTCCTTGAGATGTAGACGACCTGCTGAAGACTTGTCTCTTCTGCACTGTGCCCTCCAGTAATGTAGCTATTTAGTTTCTTGAGTGCAGAGGTCTGAACGTTCCTTTGTAGCAGGACCAAGACTTTGGAACAAGTTACCTCTGCTTGTCAGACAGGCCCCCTCCCTCTCGGTTTTCAAGTCCGGTTTAAAAACCCACTACTATTCGGTGGCTTTCAACACCAGAGGATCTGGTGATCCTCATCCAACCCGATCCTCCGAAACAGTTTGTCTTAGAAGTTGATGCCTCCGACACGGGGTCGGAGCAGTACTTTCTCAACGAACCGATGCAGATGAAAGACTTCACCCATGTGCCTTTTTCTCCCGCAGACTTTCCCCCGCTGAGAGGAATTATGACGTGGGGGACCGCAAACTCCTAGCTATCAAACTAGCATTAGAGGAGTGGCGGCACTGGCTGGAGGGCGCAGAACATCCCGTGCTGGTTTGGACCGATCACAAGAACCTTTCTTATTTGCAATCTGCCAAACGTCATAACTTCCGTCAGTCCCGTTGGTCTTTGTTCTTTTCCCGCTTTAACCTTTCAATCTCTTTTCGTCCAGGCTCCAAGAACACAAAGCCCGATGCCCTCTCCCGCCAGTATTCATCCGACAGCTCTGAAAGGACTTCTGCACCCATTCTACCTCCAAGCTGCATTGTCGGCTCTCTCTCAAGGGAGATTGAGGATGTGGTTCATCAAGCTCTCCATACTGAACCAGAACCTGGCAACAGTCCACCTAACAGAACTTATGTTCCATTCTCAGTCCGTTCCCGCTTCATCCATTGGTTCCATTCAGCCAAATTCTCTGTGCACCCTGGTATCAGTAGAACCATTTCCCTCATCTCCCGTCGGTTTTGGTGGCCATCCATGCAGAAGGATGTTAAGGAATATGTTCTAGCCTGTCATGTCTGTGCTCACAATAAATCATCTCACAAACCTCCCGCTGGATTCCTCCAACCCCTGGAAATTCCTAAATGTCCCTGGTCTCACATTGCTCTGGATTTCGTCACTGGACTACCCCTCTCACAAGGTATGACCACAATTCTAACCATCATCGATCGTTTTTCTAAAGCTTGTCATCTCGTCCCACTCAGAAAACTCCCATCAGCTTTCCAGACTGCCCAACTCCTCGTCAAACACGTCTTCCGTCTTCATGGTATCCCACTTGAAGTTCTGTCTGACCGAGGACCCCAGTTCATCTCTCAGGTATGGAAACAATTTTGCCTCACACTCAATGCAAGAGTCTCACTCACCTCTGGTTACCACCCCCAGCCCAACGGTCAGACAGAACGTATGAACCAGAAGTTAGAATCAACCCTCAGATGTCTCACCTCCACTAATCCCTCTGATTGGAGCAAGTTTCTTCCATGGGTAGAATACGCACATAACTCGCACACCTCAGTAGCCACCGGTTTTTCTCCTTTCGAAATATCCATTGGTTACCAGCCTCTTCTCTTCCCGGCTGAGAGAGAAATTTTGGGCGCTTCAATTCACCATCACATCCGACACTGCAGACATATCTGGTCCCAAACTATTTCAGCTCTTCAACGCACAGCCAAGCAGAACCGTCGCTTTGCAGATCGTAGATGCATTACAGCACCTAAATACTCACCTGGACAGAGGGTTTGGCTCTCTTCCCGTGACATCCCCTTCAAATCGATCTCCAAGAAACTTGCCCCACGTTACAGTGGTCCATACGTCATCGAGTCCATCATCAGTCCCACGGCTGTTCGCCTTCGTCTACCATCCAATCTCCATGTCCATCCCACGTTCCATGTCTCCCAAGTTAAAACCAGTCCTTACCAGCACGTTGTGGCCTCCAGCCGACGCCCCTCCACCCGCCCAGGACAATCAAGGGCACCCTGTCTATACAGTCAGACGGATCGTGGACTCCCGTCGACGGGGCCATGGCTGGCAGTACCTCGTTGAATGGGAGGGCTACGGTCCTGAGGACCGTCAATGGGTGCCCCGTTCCTATATCTGTGACCCCTCGCTAATTTCTGATTACCTCTCGTCTCTTCCTTCTACGTCATCTGGGCTGCCAGGAGGCGGTCGTTGGGGGGGGGGGGGGGGGTGTGATGTTGGGATCTGTGTTTCACCTTTACCATCAGTTCTTTTAGTATTCCACCAGATGGCGCCAAGGAGCCGGCTGGCAGGGCTGGTGGCTGCAGGTGTGCTCACACACACCTGAAATTCATCTGCTCTTCATCTGAGACTTCCGGGAAGATGGCGCTGGTGCTGGTAACTTGCCGTTCACCTCTGTCTGTTTTGATTGTTTTTTTTCTGTTTTTGTCATTTTTCTTCGGTGTCATAAACTCACTGCTTGTTTATGATCGCCAACAACTTTTAAATATACAGTTATCTACTGCAAATCCCACCTTGTTCAACCACTTTGATCAGGGCTCTGGACCCCCACCCCCTCTGCTTGTTGATGTCCCGGTTTACCTGAAGCGCGTGGCGTTTCTGCCCACCCGAAAACATCGCTCCAGGCGCCGTGGGAGACGTGCCGGCCGTCTCGTGAGGATTAAAGCCAGCTTCAAGCTCTCTGCTGCTTCGTCATCCGCTACTGACCATCAGACGTTAAACTGTCCATCCGGATGCTTCGCTGGCCCACTCAACTCCAGCTCGCTCCAGGTGCCCGGGCCTGGTACACGCAGCGGGCGCGCGCGCGGCTGCGGTGTTTTCGGCCGTCTCCAGAGGAACTTAACCAACTTGGGTCCTTCTGCTGCATCATCTTCTGCCGACCATTTGCTGGATATTCGCTTGTCCGGGTGCTTCGCTGATCCTGCTGGGTCCTGCCTGATCCCCGTAGTCGAGCCTGGCTCGCGTCGCGGGCGCGCGCACAGCTGCGGCGTCTCTGGTCCTTGGAGGCGCGGTTCAAACTCCAGAAGTCTGAAACAGCTGATCTGTGCTCCGAGCACAGCTTTACCTTCATCTACTGGTTCTACAAAGATTGTTCTGCTGAATGTGAGGTCACTGGTAAATAAAACTTTTATCTTAAATGATTATTTCTGCTCCAATGGACTGGAATTCATGTTTGTTACAGAGACCTGGCTCGTCCCTGGTGAGTTGTGTTTTTTCTGAACTTTTGCCGGCGGATTGTGCCTTTTTTAATGCTCCAAGGACTTCTGGTAGGGGTGGTGGATTATTAACAGTTTTTAAAAAGCTCTGGAACTGCAGACAGCTACAGGCTGTGACATTTCAGAGTTTTGAACTGCTGTATTTTGAGCTTGGCTGCTCCAACCCAACAATGTACAGCCTGATCTACAGACCACCCTCATACAACAAAAACTTCATAAGTGAATTTTCTGACTTTCTGACTGGAATACTGCTCAATTACGACAGGGTCTTGATTCTGGGAGACTTTAATGTGCACGTTTACTGTCCTGACAAGCCTTTGGTGCAGGAGTTGCTAAATCTGATCCAATCTTTCAACCTTGTGCAAAATGTTGTTGGTCCAACTCATCAACAGGGCCATACACTTGATTTAGTTCTGTCTCTCGGTTTATCTGTGGTTAATATGGAAATTGGGGATGCTATTGTTTCAGATCACAAACCCATTTCATTCCAAACCTCTGTTATTCATGAGTCTAAATCCCCCGCTCCAGCCAGGAGTTGTCGGATATTTAACTCTTCAACCGCTGCTCTTTTTTCCTCTGCATTCATTACTGATGCTGCTTCAGTCCCTGAAACCTCTGCCTGTATTAGTACACAGGAGCTGCTCAGTAGGCATGATGTGACCTGCTCCAAGATCTTAGACTTCGTGGCCCCGCTAAAAATCAGGTGACCAAAGCGGGCACCACACCCCTGGTTGAACGCTACCACTCGAACGGCCAAACGTCTATGCAGGAGAGCTGAACGCAAGTGGAAAAAGGACAAATTACAGGTTTCTTTTATTATGTTAAAAACATGTTTGAAAGACTATCAGAGCATCGTTAAATCTGAAAAGAACAAATACTTCTCCCAAATCATTGCTTCAAACAGTCATAATCCCCGTGTTCTTTTTAATACCGTAAATTCAATTTTAAACGTGCCTCGGTCTACCAGCATGGAGGCCTCCGTTGACATCTGCAACAACTTTACCAGATACTTTGCTGATAAGGTAGAGTTGATTAGGTCATCCATCCCCCAGTCCACAACTGATCCTTCTGTCTTTGTCCCTTGCTCAGCTGTCTTCAAACAGTTTGAACCCATTTCACTCCCGTTTCTAAACAAAGTCGTTGATCAGATGAAACCCTCCGGTTCCCCCGCTGACCCCATTCCTGCATCGTTTTTCAAACAAGTTCTACCCACGATTGGACCCTCTGTTCTTACTATTATAAATAGTAGTATTGTGACAAGTGTGGTTCCCGATGTTTTCAAACATGCAGTAGTTCATCCGTTAATTAAGAAACCTGGACTTGACCCTTCGACTTGCTCAAATTTCAGACCAATCTCAAAACTTCCCTTCCTGTCCAAAATCCTGGAGAAAATAGTTTTCATTCAATTAAACAAGTTTTTGAATGAGAACAGAATCTTCAAAATTTTTCAATCTGGTTTTAAGCAACTCCACAGCACTGAAACAGCATTAGTAAGGGTTTGTAACGACATTATGATCTCAAACGATTCTGGTCAATTTGTGGTACTTGTGCTCCTGAACCTTACTGCTGCTTTTGATACTGTTGACCACAGTATCCTTATATCACGGCTGGAACAGTGGGTTGGGATCACAGGTGCTGCATTAGAATGGTTCCGCTCATACATGAGTGGCAGGAGCTTCTGTGTCAAGGTTGGTAACAATGTATCCGCCTCATTACCTCTTTCATGTGGGGTCCCACAGGGTTCAATTCTTGGACACCTTCTGTTCTCACTTTATTTGCTCCCACTGGGGTCCATCCTGAGGAAACACGGTCTTTCATTCCATTGCTATGCTGATGACTGCCAGATCTACCTGCCTGTGAAACCAGCAAGTGTTTGCTCCATTCACCCGCAGTTAAAATGTCTGGATGACATTAGGGCCTGGATGGCTTCAAATTTCTTAAGTTTTAACAATGACAAGACCGAAGTCATTGTTTATAGCCCTAGCTCAACTGCCACCACTGATCCTGTCAACCTGGACTCTCTTCAGCCATATCTGAAGCAGTCTGGTAAAAATCTCGGGATGGTTTTAGACTCTGATTTTAAGTTTGACAAACAAATCAACTCTGTTCTGCAGAAAAGCTTCTTCCAACTAAGACAGGTAGCTAAACTCAAGCCAGTGTTGTCCAGACCCAACCTTGAGAAACTAGTCCACGCCTTTGTCACGACCCGATTGGACTATTGCAACGCACTGTATGCTGGGATCAGCCAGGCCTCCATCTCACGTCTTCAGCTCGTCCAGAATGCTGCTGCTCGGCTTTTAACCGGAACTCGTAGGTCTGAACATATTACTCCAGTTCTGTCCTCCCTTCACTGGCTCCCTGTTCCTACGAGGATAGTTTTTAAAATTCTTCTGCTGACCTTCAAATGCCTAAATGGCCTTGCACCCCTTTACCTCTCTGAGCTTCTGGAACCTTACGTTCCCTCTCGGGCCCTGAGATCATCTGATCAGCTGCTTTTGGCTGTTCCAAAAACAAGACTGAAGCTCAGAGGAGATCGGGCTTTTTCAGTCATGGGCCCCAAACTGTGGAACAACTTGCCCCCCAACATCAGGCAGGCCACCTCCCTTCCTCACTTCAAATCCCTGCTAAAAACACATCTGTTCTCTCAGGCATTTCATACAGTGTAAATTGTTCTAGTGTTTTTTAATCTGTGACCTTATGTTTTAAATGCTTTTTATTAATTCTTCAGTTATTATCATTATTAGTGTATTGTATATATATGTTTATATATTTTTCTCTTTAATTTACTCATTGATTGTTGTTGTTGTTAAGCACTTTGATAACAGGTTCTGTTTTAAATGTGCTCTATAAATAAAGTTGACTTGACTTGACTTGCTCTCATCAAGAGAAGCTTAAGAGGAAGCTCCTGCCAATCCTTCAGTGCCAGAGTGTTAACCTTTGTGGTAACTCATAGCCCTTTGAGCTCTCTCTATCTTGTTGTTTTATTGACCTCCTTACTTTTGTTAATTTGGTGCTCTTACCCTAAACCCCAGGTTACTCCTGCCTCCATTTTGGATTCCGTTCCAACCCAGTCAGCTGCAAACTTCTGCCATTCCTGGATCATATTTAAACCTTGGCTGTTTGCTGGACTCCTCATTCCACCTGTGTTCTGATCGAGCCTGTGCCGTCCTCCATCGAGCCCCTTGGCATTAATCTCAGCCATCTCGGATCCCACTCACCTCTCCTTGGCTGATAACCCCGCAACCTCAAGTAAGCAGTCTTCTTCTTTCAATCATTCAAGAACTCAACCCTCTACTCACCTCTCCTCTGTTTGTCTTCGGAGACCCGGTTAGCAGTTCTGACCTCGTTGGCTCCCAGGTCCATACCTTCCCTGAACAACATCTCCTATTACCATTCCTTTGAGTGAAATAAATTCTTAAACCTTTATTGGTTTCTCTGGGAGCTTTACTGCACGTGGGTCAAACAATTACCTAAAATCATGACATAGATGATTCATGTAAACAATGTGTTTGGTTTGAAATCTGCAAATTTTTCTGGAAAACAACAAGCTTGCAGGTACGAGTCATTAGTCTTGAGTGGAATGGAAGTTATAGAAGGGACAAGGAACGATTTTGTATAAACTTTGACCTTGATTTGTGACCAGGACCTTGAGAATGGGTTGATGAAAAGTTACATGACACTTCATCTAGTGATGATTCATAAGTTTATGAAGTTTTAATAAAGTATCTTCAGCGGATCAGAAGTTATGGACGAGACAAGAGAAAGTTTATGGACGTACTGACTATACCACAATGTACCTTACACATTTTTTATGCCTTTTGACAGGTGTATAAAAATTAGTGAGTTATAGCTATTTTGGTGTTGGCTTGAGTCCATTAGTTAACAGACAGACAAACATATGCACACACACACACAAAGATTCACAACGGTAAAAACAATGCCTTTCTATGGCTGGTGACAATAAAAACAGAAACCTTCACTGCCGTTTCCTCTTTGGCAGATTGAGTCTGTTCGTACCCTCTGTAAACTTCGACTGGCGTTTCACCTGAAAAACACAAAGGCTATTACGGCCACATGAACAAACACAGTAGATCTAAAAAGTCTACACCACCCTGGCAAAATGTCTTAAATATATAATCAACCTTAAATATTCATTAAGGAGAAAAAAACAAAGTGTTTGCATAAGTAAATGGACTGTACTTATACAGCGTCTTTCTATCTGATCAAGACACTCAAAGCGCTTTACAATACAATCTGTGTCCTCATTTATCCATTCATACAGCACTCTACTAGATCTCTACAAAGATAATAGAACAAATCATTCTAAAGAGACTAATCAGTGCTTTAGATCACATTCATACACTGATGGGTCACACATCAGAGGCAATGAGGGGTTCAGTGTATTACCCAGGGAAACTTCAGCATGTGACTGCTGGTGGATTCGAACCCCCAACCATCGCATTGGAGGAAAAGTGCTCTAACCACTCAGCCACAGCCACCCCTAATAAGTGTGCACAGCCTTAAACTAGAACTCTGTTTAAAACACTTTTTAGTTTGGAGCCTGTCAGCTCTTTGTTCCAAAAGTGTTGCAGCTCTTGTCACATTGTGAGGACACAGCTCTCTCCACATCACCACACATTATCAGATTTAACCTAAATTCAGGCTAAAAAACTATCAGAATAGCAGCAGATGAACACCAATCGTAGAGAGAGGTATATATGTCCACGTAGAGAGAGGTATATATGTCCATTGCCTAAACCCTAATCCATCCATCCATCCATCCATCTATACATCCATCCATCCATCCATACATCCATACATACATACACACACACACACACATCATCTTCATCTTGTTCTGAAGTCAGGTATCGGGGGCAGCAGCTTGAGCAGGGAGGTCCAGAGATCTCTTTCCACAGCCACCTCTTCTAGCTCTTCTCGGAGGACTCCAAGGTGTTCCCAGGTCAACTGAGAGACATAGTCTCTACAGTGTGTCCTGGGTCTGCCCCGGGGTCTCCTCCCAGTCGAAAATGCCGCTAGGGAGGTGCCAAGGAAGCATCCTTACCAGATGCCTGAACCACCTCAACTGGCTCCTCTCGATGTGGAGGAGCAGCGGTCCTATTCCGATTCTCTCCTGATAACTGAACTTCTCACCCTATCTCTAAGGGAGAGTCCAGCTACCCTGCAGAGGAAACTCATTTTAACCACCTGTATTCATGATCTCATTGTTTCTGTCACTACACAGAAGTCGTGATCATAGATGAGGGTAGGAACATAGACCAACCAGTAAACGGAGAGCTTTGTCTTATAGCTCAGCTTTATATTCACCACAATGTATCGGCACAGAGTCTACAATACTGCAGGCACTGCACCAAGCCATCGATCGATCTCATGCTCCATTCTTCCCTCACTCGTGAACAAAACCCCAAGATACTTGAACTCCTCCACTTGAGGCAGAACCTCACCCTCAACCCAAAGAGAGCAATCCACCCTTTTACCCAAATACATATGGTAAATGGACTGTACTTATATAGCGCCCTTCTATCTTATCGAGATACTCAAAGCGCTTTACACTACAATCTGTGCCTCATTTACCCATTCATACAGCTCTCTACTAGATCTCTACAAAGCTAATTGAACAAATCATTCTAAAGAGACTAATCAGTGCTTTATCACATTCATACACTGATGGGTCACACATCGGAGGCAACGAGGGGTTCAGTGTCTTGCCCAGGGACAATTCGGCATGTGACTGCTGGTGGATTCGAACACCCAACTCTTGCATTGGAGGACGACTGCTCTAACCACTCAACCACAGCCGCCCTGTATATATGCATCTATTTATTAATGTTTGTGTTTGTTTACAAGCAGAATCTTTGATGTTTGTTTACCTGTAGCAGCACTTGAATTAGGCAAAGAGGGAGTCTTCTTGTATTTAGCTGTGGACATGTCAGAAGGGCTGAATTTCTCTGTTGATGTTTAAAAAAAAAAAAAGACTTCTGAGAAATACTATCAAATATATGCAGCCTTCTATAAAAAGTGTTTTCAATTATTTTAGACCTGCATCAGTTTTTTCTGAGCCCGAGTCCTCAGAATGAGACGACTGCTTGCGGTAACCTTTGTGCTGAGAAGCTTCACCCAGAACGTTTGCCACTGACACCAAGGAGATAGCTTGACTCTCCTGTTAAATACACAATTCAAAAAAGTCATTCAAAATAATGCTAAACAAACTACGTGTGTCGTACTAACTGCTGTTCTGTAAAGTACCGGGTTGAAAAGCTCAGTGGTCAGACCGAGGTAGTTGTGTAGAGCAAGGAACGTCACTCTCTGAAGACGCACCATGATGATCTACAGGAAGAGAAAGAAATCTCACATTAGCCAAAGCAAAGAAGACTATAACTTAACTAGTTTTATATATGAGCTAAAGTTTGATGTGATATTATCTAAGATTAATTTACCACACGTACTCAGAGGGTGACATTACACTGTCTCACAAGATTGCTTAAAATTAATTTTTCAAGGTTTAACCAAAATGGATAAAACTTCTTGATGCTTCAACATAGGATGATCTGAGTCTCAGGGGAAACAGGAATGCCGTCTTTACAAAACAATTGTTATTCTTGTACACTTGGGGGCATTCCTAGTACAAACATTTTCTTCCTTGTGAACAAACAGAAAACGTTACTGCCGTTACTATGCCAGGCCTGTAAGTGGTGCTGTACTGTCACCACAAAAATAAGTTAGAAACTGAAAAGAAGACATAGATCAAACACACCAAACTGGAAACAAAAAAGAAAGGAACAGGATTTAAATCACATTAAACCAGTACTGACTGGGAGTTGACACGATGAACAATTTCAGGCAGAGTATTGCGCGAGAGATGAAGGTCACACGCGTATGAGTGGAAATTCTTTATACATGTGTTGGACTTTTAAAACTTTTCTCATTTCGTACATTTTTAAATGTACAGTTGATGAATATTGTTGATCTTGCTCTTCTCAAGGGCGGACGACGCCTCCTCTCCCTCTCCACTTTGCTTTTGCTCTGTCCTGTCTGTGAAACTACTTTAGAGCCTTTCTTCTACAAATCTTCTAAATCATAACTATAGACATGGATTTGGCCAGTTGGTCCCTCAACACAATTAATAACATTTCTTTGAAGAGAAGACAGGCTTTAGGCTAGCCGATTTGCCCTGTTGGCATGCACGCAGCTGGCTATCTCATCAACTTTGAAGACTTGATGACGTGTCTATCTCTGCTGTCATCTGTGGATTTTAAGGACACATTTATAATTGGATTTATGATAACTGGTTCCTGGTCTATCAACAAACAAGGAAGTTGTCGGCAGCAAATCTGGATCTGGTCAGGCTGCCTGCCTTATATGACGGCTTGGTTCGTGCCTCGAGCACCCAGACTCTTGGCAGAATGGATCAGATCTCGGGGATTATTTTCAGGCACGTTCCATTGGTATGGTCATTTAATTTGGACGTTTCAGAAGCGAGTGGACCAACACAGACTTGAGGTAGATGTCATTAAAATTCTGCCTGTCCCCAAAACAATCGTGTTTATCTGAATTCGGCTCCCTGACTGGCCTTGACAGGCCATGTTATCTCAATCCACCTGGAAGTTTTAGTAACCTGATGCTCAGACACTCCCTTTCCTATTGAGGAATTTCCATGGACTTTTCAGAGGAGCCAGCTGAATAAACATTCTGTCATAATTTCAGGACTCTGGATTCGTCTCTGGTCGTCCTCGGCAACCCCCGAGTGTGCACTGATCTCTCCAGAGAGAACTATTTGAACTGAGTGATTTTAACTGAACTCTGCAGTGCCTCTGTGTGTTGTCTCTGAACATGCTCACCACCTTTGTCCCCACCCCACATAATGTCAGCATCATTATGTGCTCATGTGAGAGATTTTTTTTTCATTATCACATTGTTGACCTTCAAACAGAGGTTAAAAGTGTGTTAGGAAAATTTTTTTTGTCTCCAAACCCTGTGTCATTTTTCACCTATTTTTATTGTCTGTCCAAACAGGTCTCACTTGTAAATGAGTCTTTGAGGCTCAATGTGACTTATCTGTTTAAATAAAGGCTGAATGAATGAATGAATGAGATTGAAATACATTTCTATTTTACTATAGATTATATTACTTTAATGTATGGTATGGTATAAAGTTTATTCATTTTAAAAAACAAAACAAAACAATTTCATAAACTATAAAAAAATACAGGAGATTTAAAATGAAAGGCAGCAGAAAGAAGAAAAAATCTTATTATATCTGCCCCTTTTTTCAAACAATTACAGGTCCTTCTCAAAAAATTAGCATATTGTGATAAAGGTCATTATTTTCCATAATGTAATGATAAAATGAAACTTTCATATATTTCAGATTCATTGCACACCAACTGAAATATTTCAGGTCTTTAATTGTTTTAATACTGATGATTATGGCATACAGCTCATGAAAACCCAAAATGCCTGTCCCAAAAAATTAGCATATTTCATCCCACCAATGAAAGACAAGTGTTTTTAATACAAAAAACGCCAACCTTCAAATAATCATGTTCAGTTATGCACTCAATACTTGGTCGGGAATCCTTTTGCATGAATGACTGCTTCAATGCGGCGTGGCATGGAGGCAATCAGCCTGTGGCACTGCTGAGGTGTTATGGAGGCCCAGGATGCTTCGATAGCGGCCTTAAGCTCATCCAGAGTGTTGGGTCTTGCGTCTCTCAACTTTCTCTTCACAATATCCCACAGGTTCTCTATGGGGTTCAGGTCAGGAGAGTTGGCAGGCCAATTGAGCACAGTAATACCATGGTCAGTAAACCATTTACCAGTGGTTTTGGCACTGTGAGCAGGTGCCAGGTCGTGCTGAAAAATGAAATCTTCATCTCCATAAAGCTTTTCAGCAGATGGAAGCATGAAGTGCTCCAAAATCTCCTGATAGCTAGCTGCATTGACCCTGCCCTTGATAAAACACAGAGGACCAACACCAGCAGATGACATGACACCCCAGTGACTGTGGAAACTTGACACTGGACCTCAAGCAATGTGAATTATGTGTCTCCTGTCTTCCTCCAGACTCTGGGACTTTGATTTCCAAAGGAAATGCAAAATTTACTGTAATCAGAGAACATAACTTTGGACCACTCAGCAGCAGTCCCAGGCGAGATGCTTCTGACACAGTCTCTTGTTCAAAAGTGGCTTGACCTGGGGAATGCAGCACCTGTAGCCCATTTCCTGCACACGCCTGTGCACGGTGGCTCTGGATGTTTCTACTCCAGACTCAGTCCACTGCTTCCGCAGGTCCCCCAAGGTCTGGAATCGGCCCTTCTCCACAATCCTCCTCAGGGTCCGGTCACCTCTTCTCGTTGTGCAGCGTTTTCTGCCACACTTTTCCCTTCCCACAGACTTCCCATTGAGGTGCCTTGATACAGCACTCTCGGAACAGCCTATTCGTTCAGCAATTTCTTTCTGTGTCTTACCCTCTTGCTTGAGGGTGTCAATGATGGCCTTCTGGACAGCAGTCAGGTCGGCAGTCTTACCCATGATTGCGGTTTTGAGTAATGAACAAGGCTGGGAGTTTTTAAAAGCCTCAGGAATCTTTTGCAGGTGTTTAGAGTTACGTCGTTGATTCAGATGGTTAGGTTAATAGCTTGTTTAGAGAACCTTTTCATGATATGCTAATTTTTTGGGACAGGCATTTTGGGTTTTCATGAGCTGTATGCCATAATCATCAGTATTAAAACAATTAAAGACCTGAAATATTTCAGTTGGTGTGCAATTAATCTGAAATATATGAAAGTTTCATTTTTATCATTACATAATGGAAAATAATTACCTTTATCACAATATGCTAATTTTTTGAGAAAGACCTGTAGTTCAATGATAATAATCTTTAAGTAACAAAACAAAACAAATAACTCTTTCTAATTTTTCTAAAGCCCCCAGTATACTGCCGCGTACATCCATACGCAGTGGTATGCACGTACGTACGCAGAGGTACGAGTGTACCCTCCAGGGCATGTCCGTGCAAAGCTCAAATTTTTACGACCACGTACGTGTATGCGGTGTCGCACAATAAACTGCCCAGCGACGGACTGTTTTGTATGGGACACCAATGTATTAATTTCCCCTTTTTCATCTCTGATCTGGCCTTTTCTTTTGTTTTTTTGCCAAGAGGCAGTGATCTCTTCCTCCTCCGTTGATGCCATGACTGAAATGGTGACAAATTAAGGAATTTGTCCCAAGCGAATTAAACTCAGGTCCAGCGTGGCTGCGGGAGGGTTTGGAGATTTACTGGTGGGCTGGTCTAATGTGTGGGCTGTAGAGCCAGCGCTCCGTTTAAAAAAATATATTTTTTAGATCTTTTTATTAACAACATATAAACACAGAACACCGCTGTGACTGAGGCTGCCAGCGCTCGCTTTTTTCTTTTATCCAACCTGTCAATTAATCCAGTAGGCGTGTCAGCAAATGACCAATCGGCGACCTCAAGTTGTCCTGAAGGTAAACGCCCCTTGTCTGTGAAGCTGCTCTGCAGCCGCTCAGGGTGTACACTGGAGTACGAAGTCTGAACCCTCTGCGTACAGTACACGTATGCGGCAGTATACTGGGGGCTTAACTCTAACACAATACACACTAAGCTACTTCATATATATATTTTTTTTTAACAATTCAGCTTTGATCTTTTTCTTAAATGTACACATTGACTTGACATTTTTAACATCACTCTCTAGACCATTCCACAATCCAATTCCTTGGATTGAGGTAGACCTTCCCTTCAGACTAGTTCTGAATTTTGGTTTGACAAACATCTCTATCCCGTTAAGATTATAACAACTTTGTCTTTTAACAAAATTTCTTTGGATATTTAACGGTAATGCGTTATTTTGAGCCCTATACATAACTGATAAAATACTATAATCTACCAAATCATGGAACTTCAATAACTTCAGTTGATAAAATAATGTGCTTGATGGGTGACTGTAATGCTTTCTGGTGATAATTCTTACAGTTCTTTTCTGTAAAATAAAAATAGGTTTTGTAAATGTTTTACATGCTTTCCCCCAAACATCAATGCAATAGATTAAATGTGGAACAATGATTGTGTTATACAACATGTACAGAGCTTTATCATTTAATAATTATCTGACTTTGTATAGTACTGCAATAGATTTAGCTATTTTTGTTCTTACAGAATTTATGTGATTTTTCCATGTTAGCTGTTCATCAATGATTACACTCAAAAATTTCATCTCATTAACTCTACAAATCTCAACACCCTCAATTTTAAATGGATCGTCAACAGTTCTCTTTTTGTTACTGAATATCATGTATTTAGT